GACTGTGACACATCATAAACATACACAGGTAAACTTGAGTAAATGGGATGTGAGCAGCTTGGCCCCTTCGATGGGGGAATAAAATCAGACAAAGTAGGCAATTGATTTCATTTATGCTAATTATTAGATGGACCTTGTAGGGCTACGAAATTGTATAGGCTTCAAGTTAATGTAGATAAAGAGTTCAACTGTTGCTTCTTGATGCATGCAGCTTGCTATTCCAATTGTCTGCTGAGAAAAAGAATTGCCAAGGCAGACTGCTTGTCTTCCATGCTAATACTATCAACCAATTAAGGACACTACATTTTCTACCAGATAAAAGTGGAAAATCCAGCTTGATTGCCGGATAAGCATCATCAACTGAGTAATGAATTAGATATTGCAAGATCAGAAGAGGCTCTTTTGCTTGGTGTCTTGCTTGATAGATGTTTTTATGAATGAGTGCTTCTCCAGTATACAAATATCAATGGTGCTTTATAATCTGTCTTGGTTGTTGTATTGCTACTACAATTTCATGGAGGTCTCCATCCTTTTGCCTTGCTATGTATAGCCCAAGGGAACTACAAGAACTATATCTACCTTGTCCTTAAATTCATCCTTTGCTTGGCTTCTACTTTGTTCCATCTTTTTTACCTTTCAATTTTTTTTCATTCCTAGCTTCCTACTTTTACAATTCTCTGCTCTTTTCTGTTCCCATGCTTTGCTTCTTGCTTTTATCATTTTTTCCTAGCTTCCTACTTTTACAATTACCTGCTTTTATCTGTTCCCATGCTTTGCTTCTTGCTTTTATCATTTTTCCTAGCTTCCTACTTTTACAATTATCTGCTTTTATCTGTTCCCATGCTTTGCTTCTTGCTTTTATCATTTTCCACTTTCCATACTAAATGCATCAATAGGACTTCTCCCATTTTTCCTATATAAGAGGCAAAGTTACCCTGATATAACTCATCAAGCTACCTAGTACCACAGTCGCTATCCAGAAAGCAATCAGTCATCATGGCAAGTGGTAAGCTATAGACATTCACACATGGTCATACTCATGCCTGGGTTTTTATTTCTGCAACCTATAGTGTTAATCAATGTAGAGGAATAGAATGACAGCATAAATTGGATGTTACATATGCTGTAACAATTATTAGTTGCATCAAGAATTCAAAATGTATGGTGCAGAATTTACTCTCAAGTAATTGCCAAATCATCAGGTGATCTCATGAATGTACATTGCTAGAAGACCACTCCATGCTGCCTATGTTTGCTGTTTGCTATAGTTGTTGTGCCGAATGTACACAAAGTCTGCATATGTTAATTTTTTGCTCTAGTTCAAACAGAGAGAAGAATGTGGTTCACTTTACAAAAAAAAAAAGCAATTACAGTTGATTAGTATTTTGTTACATTCTTGTATGCATTTAATGTGCTAGTGCAGTCACAATTTTAAGCATCGATGGAGGAGGTGTGAGAGGGATTATTCCTGCAACCATCCTGGCATTTCTTGAAGATGAGCTCAAGGTAGTTTGTCTATCTCAGTTCTCTCATGCACAATTGTATCATAATCCCCTGCTTGAGACATGTTGAATGTGTTGGCTATTAATTTGTTTTCTTAATTTCAGAACCTTGATGGACCAGAAGCTAGGATTGCAGACTATTTTGACATCATTGCAGGGACAAGCACAGGAGGCCTTATAAGTGCAATGCTCACCACGCCTGATGGTGATGATCCTGAGAAACGCAAACCCCTGTTTACTGCCCAAGAAGTTGTTGACTTTTATTTAAAGGAGAGTCAGTATATCTTCCCCAAAGAACGAGAGGCACCAACAAAACTTGCAGCAAAACCTTTGTACTATAACAACTACTCATATACATAAACATGAATCATTATTAATTAATTAAATAAGAATGAGTATAGAATTACTTAGTTATCTTGCCAATTAATTGCTGTTGCAGGAATGATGAAGATATGAGTGGAAATATATCAATAATCACCCTGCTATTTCAATGGTTCAGCTTTGCAGTAGAAAAGCTTGGTCTCCCTACATTCTTATTGAATTACCTTACTCGTTTTGAGAAAGCTTTCTTGCTTCCCAAATATGATGGAAAGTATCTGCGTAGCAAAATCATGGGTCTGATGGGAGTGAAGCAGCTCACTGACACAATCACCAATGTTGTCATCCCAGCTTATGACGTCCTCCGCTTCCAACCATTTGTTTTCTCCTCCAGACAGGCAAAACGCGACGAGTCTTGGAATTTTAACCTCTCTGATGCTTGCATAAGTACATCTGCAGCTCCAACCTATCTCCCTCCACATCCCTTTACTAATGGCCTCAACAAGTTTTGCATGGTTGATGGTGGTTTGGCAGCGAATAATCCAGTAAGTTTATACTATCCAGTACTGCTTGGTGTTGCCTTTTAATAACTAAAAGGATACTAGTTACAGAACTTGAATGTTAACAACTGGTGTCTGGTGGCTTATTTCTTTCCACCTATGACCATTAATTTTTTTTTGTTTAAAGACTCTGCTAGCTATACGTGATGCGGTAGTGAATCAGAAGAAAAGAGTTCTCAGTCCTGATGGAAGCCTCGACTTCTCCAAGTTTATAGTTCTTTCACTAGGAACTGGAGCCTCGGGTGACAAAAGTGTTGATGTTACGGATCCTGACGACTGGGGAATATTAGCCTGGTTAGGTGCACCATCTTTCTCCTCCACCCCCATTATTGATGCTCTCAGGAGTGCCAATGATGAAATGATTGACGTCTATATGTCCTTAGTAATTAAAGCTTTGGGAATCACACCAATCAAAAACTATCTTCGGATCCAGGTATGTGAAATTTATCAGTGCCAATCACTTGCCTATTTATGATCCGTGTCTCTACTGCTTGAGCCATTTGCTATTTCTGATAGTTCACTGGACGTTTAACACTGAGTGATATTTTTGCACTTTCAATGAGTAGCTTGTCAATTCTCATTTAGTAAAAGTTCATGTTAAAGTCTTACATGGTAGTATGATTTGCAAATACGAGCAACTTGAGTTCAATTTTCATACATGCTAGTTGTCTACCATCCCCTTCCCCCAAACCCCCCAACCAAAACCAACAAAAAGAAAAGAAGAGCATTAGCTGATTTGTGCTCCAAATGAATTGATTTCTCAAAATGTGCTTATCCGCTACATTTATCTAATGTTTTGTATTGAATTATCCTATAAGTATCCTGGTCTGGATAAGAACGATATGGCATTCGACGAATCCGACCCGAAGCACCTTCAGCACCTGAAAGAGTTGGGAAAAGAGCTGCTCAATAAGAATGTCACCACGATGAATATAGACAAAGAAGAGTATGAACCTGTTGACGGGCAGCCGATGACCAATGCTCAGGCACTCAAGGAGTATGTTTTATGATATATCATATTTTTTTGTATCTGCTGGATTAGAGCACTCATCTAACAAACATATTCAGCAAGTACATAAAAGGCTACTCCCCAGTTTGTAGTAATAATAATTTCTTTCTTCTTGTATATTGCAGCTTGGCAGCCCGATTGTCTGCTGAAAGAAAGAGTTGCCAGGGAGATGCCGTTGCCAATTTATGGATCAAGAGTGATGATGATGATGATGATGATGATTATCCTTGATTGATGGAGCAATATATAGCTAGCAGGCATGCAGTTCTATGCACATTGTTCAAATAAAGATGGAAGCTTCAGCTGTATTAGCATCCATCGCGTGGAGCATGATGAGTACAAGAAGTCTTAAATAAAGAGCAAAAACACTTATCTCATAGCTGATGAGTACTGTTTTGCTCGATCAGTGTCATAAACAAATAATTTTGTGCCTGTAACAAGTATTTGGATTGCACTGCTTAGCTATGCTTGTCTTCTTTCAAATGACATATTGTGCTTGTAGTAAGTATTTGGATTGTACAAGTATTTGCACTGCTGAAATAAGTGTTTGTTTCATAGTATTGATATGCGCCTCAAATAATATGGTGCTGATTTGCGCTTCAAGTAACGGAGTTTTCATGTGATATACTTGAGAAATAGAACACCAAGCACGCATATGAAAATGGGACATCACTTTAGAGTCGTTGTAGACTTTGTTAGCTTAGCTAGAGTTGTCTTACCAAGTCCTGGCATCCCCACAATGGAAATAATTTGTAAATGGAGTGCTCCTCTGGTGAGTCGATTGACTATTGATGTTGCCTCATCTTTGAATCCCACCACCAGATCATTGACTGGTGGCTTACTTCCTCAGCTTTGGCATCAAGTCTTTTGCTATCAGAAATCTTCAAAGCTTCAGCTTTGATGATCTTCATTTCTTGTAAAATGCTATGTTTTCAGAACCGAACCGGATAGCGACTCGGCCGAGGTCAGGGGTCAATGGGTTCGACCGGAGGTCGATAGGGGTCGAACCGGATGACGTCATAAATAAAAATTATTTAAAAATTAAAATATTATATATATAATATCTAATAATATATTGATATTAATAAAGGTATATTCATATATATTTGATGTTTCAAATATATTTAACAAGAAAATACAAAGAAATTAGAACAATCAAGTAGCAATTTATATAATTTAATAAATATTAACAAGTTTAGAATTAAAATTATGAATTTAATTGAAAAATAACATCAAATTTTAGGACAATATTTATAAAGTATCAAATATTTGAGGTATATCAATAAATTTTAACAATTTAGGGGGTCAAAACATAATATTAAAAAGTTTGAATTTTTTTTTAAAAAAATTACTGTTGAACCGGAAAAACCGGTTTTTGCCCGATCAAACCCGATTTTTGACCGGCTTTGACCAGATTTTAAATTTCCGGTTTTTTAATATGGCTCGGACCGGCTACCTGGCCAGTTCCCGGTTCGACCGGCCGGTCCGGTCCGAGTTTCAAAACAGAGGTAAAATGGAATCAAATGACATTGAAGAAGAATCTAGAATATCTCCAGCAATTGCGGAGTCAATGAGAAACTCTACCCTGTACGCCACCTCTACAACACCATCTTATTGAAAGTTTAACGGAAAGCTAAAATTACTTTTCGTTCTCCAACAACCAATAATTTATTTCTACATACAGGAAATATTACATATTTCACACCAGTGACCTATACTCGTCTCCTTTCACCAAATTGCTCAATTCACTCAAACTTGCTCAGGCTAAATTTTACATTTGAAGAGGAGCCAAAAAAAAAAGGTGGGGAAAGAACACACATAAATATGAGAAATATGAAGTCTCTATCACCTAGAGCTAGCAACACAGTTTCACATAACAATCTCTGGCTTCAAGATGCTTGATTTAATCTCTTTGTGGGGCAAAACTACACCGCCGTTGCTGTAGATTTCATCACAAACATGAACATCTTCTCCCAAAATGGTCATGTTCTCCACACGAGCCCACTCCCCAACTGTCGAGTGCCAGCCAATGATACTGCTTGAGATGCAGGCATGTTTCTTGATGCGAACTCCATGCATTACCGTGCAGCGTGAGAGTCTAACACCTGCCTCAACCACACATCCACGGCCAATTGCAACATCAGGTCCAATCAAGCAACCCTCTCCTATTTTGGCACTCTCATGCACAAGAACATTTCCAACAATATGAGTTCCAGAAGCCAATTTTGAGGCATCTTTCTTCCTCAAGTAATCCAGATACAATCGCAGGCCAGTGATGTAATCCCTCGGCTGTCCAATGTCCATCCAGAACCCAGGCAAAACCATAGCATAAAGCATTTTCTCTGCTGCAATTTTTGGGAACACTTCTTTCTCAATTGAAGTGGGCCTCAATTCAATTCGATCAAGAACAGAAGGGTTCAGAAGGTAAATGCCAGCATTAATTTTGTTGCCAACAAATAGTTTTGGCTTCTCCACAAACCTCTCCACCTGTCCAGTCGATTCTTCCAAGACAACAACCCCATATTTTGAAGGTTCATCCACCTGTGTGGTTCATTGAACTCAGAAATCGGAAAATCCAATGGCGATCCAGACATGCAAAGCCAGGAAAAGTTTAAGTAGCAGAACTTTACCTTAGTTACCACAATGGAAGCCTCACCCCCATGCGATTTGTGGAATTCAATCATCTCTTTGAGTGGATATTCACTGATAACATCACTGTTCAGAACAAAAAATGGCTCGCCAGAACCATCTGCCAGCTTGTCCCTAGCCAAAGCAAGGGGGCCTGCAGTTCCAAGTGGCTCAGTCTCTTGTGAGCATGTGATCTTGATCCCAAGCTTTGCCTCGAAGTCTTTCAGGAAATTCAGCATCACCTATGACAATAAGTCTCGTTCAGTTTAGTGCTTCCTTAGTAAATGTATCATAAAATTCACAAATGACAGAGGCCTTCTAGTATTTTACTTCTGGCTGGTAATTGATTGCAAGAACCACTTCAGTCACTCCGATAGCCTTAAGAGCCTCAATCTGAAATCACCAAAACTGACATGATTAACATGCAGGCCTACACTAACTTATAAATCTGCATTGTGAACATGCAGCACTTGCATGCATAGACAGCAGTTGTGTTTGATATCTGAACAAAGAGTTTGAAATCACATGTTCTACATCTGATCACAGAAACCAGGATATGATGTAGCATGCTCACGCTTCAAAACAGCCAAATCAGAGTGAAACCTGAAATATACTTGACGGCTTTGAAGCGGAACTGATGCTGGAAGTTTATATGCATCAACATAATCAACAACAATATGAATGCAAAAATGAATTTTCAAGTGACATACCTGATGCAAGATCATTGGTTTATTAGCAAAATCCACTAGTGGCTTAGGGACACTTAATGTCAGTGGCCTCAAACGAGTGCCAAAGCCTCCAACAAGAATAAGTGCCTTCATCCTGAAATGATATGCTCCTGGTTATCGTATTATGTGAACAGAGAACTATGCAAGGAAGAGAAGAAAAACTCATTCAAAAGTGAATCCACTCCCATCCATATATCACAATGCCAAAGAAGAGAAGCATGCACGAGCAAAGAACTGCATATTGACATGTGTATACAAAAAGCAATATCAAATTTCTCATTCTGACCTCCAAGATTAAAGTTGTCGGTACTTCACAACAGTTTATATGCCAAGATTGACAGGAAAGAATTCTTGTTCCATTAGGCTCTCGTATTTACATTTTCATTAAGACTTTTCACAAACATCTTATATGCACGCAAACAACTATCCTTTGTTTGATTAATTTCGAATTAAAGCTAAACCAAAAATTGTAACACAGTGCATTTACAATACTAATACAAACTAACAACATAAAAGGGGCAAAAATTAGCAGTGAAATTTAAATACACAGAAAGGTTAAAAAAGCGAAAGCAAAAGTGGCTTGAATAAGAATATTCCACGAGTAAATAAGGGGAAAGAACGAAGAAAAAATAGCAAAATTTGGCAGTGAAATACCTCTGCGCCTTTTCTCGTTTGAGGAAGCAGAAAATTTGAGAAACAGAGGCAAGAGATAAGAAACGAATAATGATGTAAGAAAGACTATAATGTATCCTCACGCAATAGAAGTTGACGGAAAATCAGTGCTTTCCACAGAAATGCTCCTCTAACTTGCTACTAGACCAGAAATTCAGTTCACTTGGCAAGAAAAAGATGAAGATTTACGGACTGATCACTTGCCGACGAAGATATGAGCTGATCTGGGATTCTGGGTTGGGTAAAAATAATTGACACCGAAAATGATTGCATTAAAAAATAAAAAAATGATTCTGTTGGGTCGATTCCTTGCTGACGTCAGCGCCGGAAAACGACGTCGAATATTAAGAACCACGAAATATTATTAATGTAAAGAGCAACAGGCTGATTACTGGTCCTCATTTGTTCAATTAATGACGTGCAATGTGCTTTGTATATGTGTAGTTTAGTTCCCCTACAAGGTACTAATAATCTTGGTATGTTTTGGAAAAGGGGAAACAACATTAAGCTAAGCCGTTTGAAAGAATTATTAATGTTTTACTCTTTCCACTTTTTCCTTTATCGTATTTAGGGATAATTTCACAAACCTCCCCTGAGGTTTTTGACACTTGCACTGAGATCCTCCAGGTTTTAAAAATTTCACCTAGCTCCCTTGCTTTTCAAATTTGGTAACAATTCAGTCCAATTAGGATTAAAATATTACTATCATGATAGAGATGACATTTTATATTTCATGAATACCCTCTTCCTCCCTATATTAGTACAAGATTGCCTGTTAATAAAAAGGTAGAGATGATTATGGGTATTTTATTCTGAATCATTTAATTTATGTTAAATACATAAATATTTGCAAATAAAATTCAAAAGCCGTTACACAAATATTTTTACGAAAGGAAAACTAGTATGTTTTGTATTTAATATAAATGAAGTATTTGAAAGTAGAAAAAAAAATTGTTCATAACATACTAGTTCTTTACGAATTTCTTCCATTATATGAATAAAGTACTAGTTATTTATGAGCATTTTACTTTGAATAATTTAATTTATATTAAATACATAAATGTTTATAAGTGAAATTCAAAAAGCGTTACACTAATATTATTACGAAAGGAAAACTAGTAGGTTTTTATTAACAAGCAATCTTGTACTAATATAGGGAGGAAGAGGGTATTCATGGAATATAAATGTCATCTCTATCATGATAGTAATATTTTAATCCTAATTGGACTGAATTGTTACCAAATTTGAAAAGCAAGGGAGCTAGGTGAAAATTTTAAAACCTAGAGGGGTCTCAGTGCAAGTGTCAGAAACCTCAAGGGAGGTTTGTGAAATTATCCCTAGTATTTATAGTATTACTACTTTTTTTTTGTCTTTAAAATTAACAAAGCCTAAAACTAGAAACTATTCAAAAATAACACACGGTAGTTTAGTGTTTTTGATCTTTTTTTTTGTCAATCGTCACTTTATTTATATAATTTTACTCTATTCCAATTTAAGGGGAAGACCAACTAGACCTACAGGGAGTCAATGGAGAGTGAATCACTATCGGATCATACGAGTACACTACACACCATCTGAATTTTTTAGAGAACCCTTGACCTCTCACCGTATCATGCCTTAAGGACTTGGTAGTGGCCACCAGCCATAGGCTGGTGGTTAGTTTAGTGTTTTTGATCGTTTAACCAAAGTTTGGAGCTTTTAGCCTGAGCTTGGAAGTCTCTTTCGATTGCTGAATTTTTCAAAAATTAGTTTTTCAGATATTATTAAAATTTTTAAAAAGTACTCTAAAAAGTAGTTTAAATTTTTTTAATGTTTAAAAAATATCTCAAAATATATTTTAAAAACTCTTTTACTCTTAAATATTCCAAAATATTTTCTAAAAATATTTCAAAATATACTATAAAAAAATCTGCTATAGTAATTTTTTTTTCAAAAATATCCCAAAAAATAGCTAATCCAAATGCACCCCCATATTTTAAGTCAAAATATACCAATTTTTTTTTTGCATACATAATTAATTGCAACGGATCAAATCTACGTATTTATTGATTTATTGATTTTTAGATATTTAATATGGCCCAGCCGTCCTCATGCTAATCCTGAATTCCCAGCTTTCCTTCCCACAAGAACACCTCCATTTTTGTGTTTATTGAGACCCAAAATACAGCGTAGAAAACTTGAGGGATGGAGATTCACAATCACAGACAGACGCTAAAAAACAGACTAACAAAATGCATGACATTTCATTTCACGTCTGCTTTGAATGAAGAACAAGTCAATTACCCTCCTCCATATTCCTAGAGCAAAGCGGGTTTTTTTTTTTTTACTTTTTTTATGCCCACCAGACGCAATTTATCAAGCCGCTGGTTGGTTTTGGTTTGCACCAATTCAATATGCTACGTTCCTATCTCTGGTTGTGTAAAACGTTCGGTATTTTTTTTTTTCCAATTATATATCGTTTTATTAGATAACCTTGCAGTCAATGTCTTGGGCTTTAAAGAAGTAGAGAAAAATATTACTAGAAATTAGGTACAAGTTAATTGTAATTATTCAAAGTTTCTAGTAAAGGCAAATTGGCATTTTAAATGATAATGATCATGATGGTTTATAGTCTGACGCCATGAACAGGATGCAAGTCAATAACTCCTTGGTAAATTTTGATTTTTCCCTTTCGGGCACGATTCAATTAAGCTAGATAATCTTTATTACTCCCTCCGTCCCACTTTGATAATTCTGTTTCTTTTTTCACACAGTTTAAGAAAAAATAGTTAACTTTGTTGGAAAAGTAAATTTAGATTGCTATTTTCCTAAAATACCCTCACATTAAATATGGTACAACTTTATGGGAACTTGAATTGATTGTAAAAAAAGAATCAACTCTCATTAAATGGAGTAGGTTTATAGTAATAACTACTTACATTGAATAAGGGTATTTTAGGAAAATTAAAATATAACTACATTCTTTAATTGGAAAGTGGACTACAATTTGGGACAGATGAAAAAGAAATACAGAACTATCAAAGTGGGACGGAGGAAGTATTTTTTTAATCCCTTTTGATTTTCTCTTTTCTTTTTAAAGGAGCTCTATATATATATATATATATATATATATATATATATATATATATATATATATATATATATATAGGTGCCCCGCGAGTTTCGCGGGGTGTCCATTGTTGATTGTTTAATGATAATGTAGGTTATAATTTTAGAGAAAAGTTTTTTTTTTAATTTTGGTTTTTGGTTGTATATTTTTGAATTTTTTAGTTTTTGAAATATTATTGAAGTAATATTTTTGGAATATAGTTAATGGAAGGTAATGGAAAGTGGTATAATTAATTTGTATTTATTAAATAGCTATGGATTTTTTGTTGATAAGTGTTTTATGGTAGTTACATTTGTGTTATGTTATTTAATTTAAAAATGGAAGAACTTTAAGTTAATAATTCAATTATTAACGAATATTATTTAAGGAGTATTTTTTAAATAGAGAGAAATTATGTTATATTGTGAAAAATAATTGGTTGGAGTAAAATATATTTTGGAAAAAGTGGAGATATATAAAATGGGTAATAAATAGGATATAAAAATATATTTATATGTTTATGTAGCGAAAATAAGTCTGTGTTTGTATTATAGAATTAAAGTTGTGTTTTTAGAGAATAAATATTTTTGTTAATATATACATTGTGGAAGATAAATTATATATAAAGGGTATAGAATTAATTATAACTATTTTTTGAATAGAAAGAAATTATTGGATATTTTTAGAAAATGGTTGGTGAAGTGAATGGAAGTTAAAGATAGATTGGTATAGTTGATTTATATTTATTGGATGTGTGTGAAGTTTTTGTTGATATATATATATTTTTGAGAAAATGAAATTTTTTTGATATATATATTTTGGGTGAGAAAATGTATGTTATGATTGTTTGATGTTGTTTATATTATCTGTTTTTTTGTTTATATATGTGTGGTTATTATTGTAAATATTTAGAGTGGGCGGTAATGGTAAAATTTTGTGAAGTTGTGTAATGAGAGGAATTTCATAGTTGGTGGTAAATTTTTTATTTCATTACATAAATGATGGATAATTTAGGGGAATATAACTGTTATGTCTCATAAGCTGTAATGAACATTTGTTGATCAGGATTGCTGGATGAAGTCTCTGTCAAAGAGGTTGATAGAATAATTGTTTTCGTTGAGCAGGGTAAACAATAGTTATTAAACCCGGCCCGGAGAGGAACCCGGTGAAAGAGGTGGGTCAACGGGTTACTGGTTCAACCAGTGGGTGAATGGTGCAACCGGTGGGTCACTACATATATTTAAATATTATGTTTTATAATTTTTGATATGGTTAAAACTATAATAAACTATGTTATAGTAAGGGTTAATCGCACTTTATCCCCTTTAAGTATGGGTCATTTCTTACTTTACCCCCCAACGTTTGTTTTTCTTCAGTTTATCCCAAATACTAACAGTCAACTCTAACGGAGATTAACAGAATAATGAAAAGACAGTAATATCCTTAAGAAAATAATGAACAACCCAAAATACCCATATGTCAAAACAAATTTCCAAAATTGTCCTGGAACAATAGAGGAGGAAATTTCCCTCCATCGGGCACATGGGACAAGAAAAGGGAAACCAGAAGACAAAAGGTTTCCTTCCTCTTTGTCATTGTCGGTCAAGTCTCTCTCCCCTCTATCAGCCTCTTTCTTCTTCTGTATTCCTAGCAAAACCTCCAAAACCTCCATTAAAGAACATGAAACGACACCAGAAATAGAAACGGCACCTGCTTGGCGGGTCGGACCCAGGTGCAATTGACCCATCGGTGGTGAAATCTCAATTGGGAAGGAGGAAAGTGAAGTTCGTCGGGTGGATTGGGAAAGGTGACGACGAACCTCAGAAGAGAGGGGGACTGGGGCTGCTTGTGGTGGTAGTGGCGGTCGGCGTCGTGGTGCTGAAGAAGAAAAGCGGTGACGACACCAGTTCACCAGCCGTCCCTATAGTAGGCATCGACGACATCGCCTAGGTCGAAATAGGGTTCAGAAGAAAGAGGGTCAGGAGGAAGCACAGGGCGGAGGAATTCGGCATTGACGTACTCGCGGAGAGGGACGTTGGAGCCCTCCTCGACGACGAGGGTATGGTACTGGATGTAGGCCTTACTATTGGAGTGGTGTAACGACCCCATTTTCCCCTAAGGCGAACCAGAGGGGTCAACGGGCCGCCAGCCCAGCTCTCGCTAGGACTCAGTCATTCACTA